TATTCCTCTCTCCCAACTCATATGACTCTTTTACTAATAGTGAAGAAACCCTTCATTTAAAGTAACCGTAGCACTACCTTGCTTTAGCGTTCCCCGCATGGAGGTAGTACAATACACGATCAGCAAAAAAATACTTTATTTATATGGACAACTGCTACTTCTAAAAAAAACGCTTAATTCCCTTTCAAGTTTACGAATGCGCATTCTACACATTTTTTACATAAAATATCGAATAATAACTTTATTTATAGATAATAATAATATTATAAAAGGCAGATCTGGAGGATAGAAATATGGAGTAAGAACAAAGAGGGAGGAATAAGCCGGATCCTAAACCCCTTTACATTGTAAAGAAATGGCTGTTCCTTTCCCTACTCCATATTGCTACCTAAGTTATCATTATTATTATCGTCTAATATTATATTACTGCTACTTAATAAATTATTTCTACTACTATTGCTAATTATAATGGAACTATCTTTTTTCTTTCCCTCTCTCTCGATCCAAGCTTCGATTTTGTCTAATGAGGTACGTTGCAGTGATTTCTGGTGTTGGTAAAAGCTGGCAAGTGTAGCCCTTTTTCTTCTCAAGTTCAGAAAAAGATAAATAGGTAGCATTGTATAAAGAATCAGAGAAATAATTAACTTATTTAGTATCTGGCTTTGAGCAGTTACTGCAAAAAGGCAGGGAGAATATTTTTCTCTTTTTCTTCTCTCGTCAAATAGGACAGTAAATTCAACCCAGAGAGTTTCAATCTCAGTAGAATATTCAGACCTGAGATTTGTTATAGATGCTTGCCCTAGATATGGAATAATGTGGATTAGTAAAATATAATCACCTTGAGATGGCTTTCACCAAAATTATGCTAGCTCATTAAACCACGAACAAGTGAATTTACAACTGTTTCACAAACCTCTACTTCGAACTTCACTTCTCCATTCCAAATCATTTTCTATTCTTGCATGATCATTTTTTAGAGCCAACATATCTCGTTTTAATTCTCTTATATCCACATCCAACGTAGTGGAGATTGGAGTTGGAGATACATATTTTCGTAGATAAATAAATACTACAGCGATAATTACATAGAATATTATATTTTCCGGGATAACAGAATAAATCATCTCCATTGTTAAGACGCTCCGATCATATAGTTCATAGATGGCGATTATAGCAATGAAAATCGCAAATAAAAAAATATCGGAAATGTTAAGTTGCATTTTTCGTGGTTATTTGTTTTGCAATTGATAAATCGATTAATTATTGATTTTGACGTTTTGTATGACTCAATCCCTTACCTGAGAATCCAGCGATATTGACATGTTTTTATAGATTAAAACCCAGCATTAACGATCCATAGCATTGGTTCTTTACATCTCGTACTAAATCGAAGCAATAAATCATAATACATGGCGATTTCGTACTATTTATGTCGATTATTGTGCATCGGATGATCGCTCACCTATAAAATTGTCTGTGCGCATATTGCCGATAATTGACAATTCCACATGTATCACTCGAAATTTTGTTTGTTACTTAATTGAGATGTAGTATGCACCTATTTCGGAATAAATGGCACTTCGGCTCCGCATCTCGAATACATGTCACGGGTAATAGAAACGCACAATGTCATACGTAAAAAATCTGATTATCCTGATCGCAGGTTTATAAATGCAGTTAAAATATCTTACTAATGAAATTATGCCAGAAGTGTTGGATGATGCATTTCCAAATATACGTATAGTTCAGTATAATCGAACACTCCTACTATACTTCCCTTACTTTTATTTTCAACCATCATGAAGTTATTCCCTGGATTATACATGTGCTCATATTTATGAGGATTAAACAGATTCATATACTGGGAGGGAATATCGGTAAATTTACTCGATTCAAATTTGGGTCTTCGGCTTGTATCAGTTTACCCAATTCTGTTCTAAATATATTCTTTGCAATCCGCTCAATTTCAGCAGTTTTTCTCTTCCTCTTTACTTCAATGGGATCAGGCTTGATGATAACGGGTTCCTCGGGTGTAATTATTTCTTGGGGCGTTGAATTAGGTGGTTCACTAATATTCTTAGGATACCAGTCAGGCAAATTTGGATCACCTATTGAGTTGGCATATGAGTATGGGTCTTCAGATTTCCAAATTTTATTACACTTTGGGTTGCCGATTTTATACCACTCCGAAACTTTTTTAGACCCACCCTTCAAGTCTCTGGCATACATAATACAATCGATATCCTCTTTAGCTAATCGTGCAAGAGGTGGTCTTGATTTGATATTCTTCTCTAATTGTTTCGAATCAGTATCTTTATTGGATTTTTTGGGAGCTATCTTGGAATAGAATTATTACTTCGCAGTTATAAGGTAATTATATTTGTTTGAAAAAATTACTTATCTTTGTTTAATCGATGGTGCTAATCGGAAAAAAAAGAATTATCTGCGGAGCAGTGCACTCCGTGCCCCAAATACATATGCACCAACTTGGGTAAGGGATTTTGTTACCTCTTACAATGAGTAAAAGAAAAAATTCAAATCGAAAAATATTTACCGTTTAGATATTACGCATTCTCACTTTGCGAATTTTTCGTTTAGTAGGACGTTTCTTAATGGGTGTTGTCATATACGTATCTATAACTTCTGATCGCACTCTAGACGAAGAAGAATCACTTGAGTCTGAAGTATCTGAAGAATCCGACTTTACCCATGGTAGCTTTCCTTTATTTATACAACTTAGTTCATATTCAATAATACAAAGTTTTTCAAAAATTCTATACTCTATATCATTTTCTATAGAATGAATTGACTTCCAAATATTATTGAGGTGCATTTTGATTGAAAGATTTCCACCCCCATCACCTAAATCTACTTTAAGATATTTCTTAATCTTGCTAACTCCGCTATTTTTGGGAATATGAACTTTTCTATGTGTCGTAGTTATCTTTTTATTTTCTCGATTGAAATAATTCGATCTTCTGGATGTTGGAGGTATATGGGGTATATTGTGAAATATTCCATGATGTCTCTTTCGGTGCTTATTATCTTCGATATCTGAGAGAGATTTCTTAATTATATTCGTGATCTCCTCCAATGATAGATCGGTCTTAGGTGAGTTATTTTCGTGGAGCTGGCTTTGTTAAAATCTCCATCGATTAACGGGATGCTCATATTATCTATTACAATTTTAGCATGGCGGACACAGGTTTTGGAAGAATGTCCAAAGCTTATTTTTGCTTCACGCATTCATAACCAATCTTGCCCCAACACCAGATCGAATGATAGATTTTTGTGAATTTGAAAGTCTATTGTATCGGTATCATCTAAGCTATGGTATATTTCCTTATACTGGAATTGTAAATTCAAACAACAAATCTCACCTATTGCATCTTTATAGAGATTTTTAACGGGAGCACTGGTCGATCCTATCCCATGATCAGTTCCAAGCTTATCGAACAAGCTCTTGCTAATGGTATTAAACTTCGACGATGTATCAATTAATGCTTTTACTGGGATTTTTTCTTCTACAAGATAATTCACAAACATTGGTAAAATATTATTTAATGATGTATATTATAACCAAAAAATAATTATCATTTATTCTGAATTTTATCATGTATTAATAAATAATATTATGGCATCAACAACGACTAAAGCTACTATTGATTCAGACACTAACTGGTCAATTATAACTGAAGAATTTACGAAAAAATTGGAAGCGGGGGTTATTGGAAGTTTTCACGAATCTCAGAATAATAATAGTATGATATCCGGTATTATTAAGCAAGTATCGGATAAAAAAATTCAGATTCTCTCTGCCAATTACTGGAGATAGTGAAACCCGAGATTCAGCAAGAAATTATAAACTCAATAACAAACCCGGATATCTCTCAGTATAATCACATTTCATGTGAAGCTAAAAGACGATACAAGAAGCTTATTTCCAAAAATATCACATCTGAGTCTGGATCTGGTTTTGAATCGTCTAGTGATGAAGAATTTATTATGAGTCCGATAAAAGTAAAGAAGCGTATAGTTTCAAGATCTTTAAGCGATTAGTTCTCATCATTAGAAATTTCTTCGTATAAATTGAAAATATCTGATACTTCATCATATTCTTGTTTAATCATAGGGGTGATTGGTCTAGGTGCTGGAATATTTGGCCTGTCGTTTATCACACCATAATGTCGTGCCGTAGCTCTATATCCTTTTTTATGACGCGTTGCTAAATCTCAATACCTTTGGTGACAAGAATCATTTTTGTCACCATGAACTCTTGATGCATGATCAGCACCTATTTTTCTTAAATGATATGAGGTAATACCATGAGGAGCTAGAAATCGATTAAGTGGATAAACTTTTACATAATCATTTTCACCTTTTAACAGAAATAGAAAAGTCTTTGGAATTGTCTTCTGGATCCAGGTGAGCAGTTCTATTGCTCTTTTTGGATCCCTTTCCATTGAAAAGAATGGTAAAGGTTTATCAATTTGACTTTTGACGTAGCCAGTGCAATACTAAGAATATTTAGAATCATACCATTTTTCATAACTTGATGGATAGTGATCAATACGAAGAGTTGCAACATCTGCTGGTCTCATAGATAACATTACCATTACATTGATCAAATTCTGCATAGAAGGGGGTTTGGTAATATCGCATTCACTAAGTCTTTTCTGAACATTTTCCAAATAAAAGAATTCAGGGCAATCTATACCTTTGTCTTCATTAAGTTCATGTTGCATTTCCTGTTCTTTATTGGATGCTTTGGTAATGTGGGGTAGACTCGTCGCTTCTAGCATAAGACTATCAGCACCGAGAGATTCTAATTCTTTTCGAAGATATGTAAGGCATGAGACATCAGCAACAACATTTGAAGCTGTGTTAACCAAATCATTTGCTATCTCATTTATCTCTTCGGGTGAGAGATCATTTTCCATAATATGCCTAGCTATAACTTTGATGGGATCTCTTCCAACTACACGTCGTCTGGGTGCCTGTTTAGGAATGAGAGTGTGTGTCTGTTCTCCATTAAGACCCAATTTCCGAAAGCGTCTTCTAGCTTGATCTCTGGCTCTCCCTGCCTGGATTTTTGTCTTACCATCTGAGAGTTTACTGGCTAACTCTTCAATGTAATTACTAAGCTGGGATAAGCTAGTTTGGGGTGATAATTTGTAGCGATTGAAAAATTCTGTAGCAACTTTTGCCATGGTAATATAAGATGATTGTTATACTATAAATATCTTGAATATATACTATAAATGTCTCAGATATATACTATAGTGATTCTTTTTTCAAATCGAAATTAATTATCCTGGGTCATTATACCCAAAAATTGAATGGGTCCTGGTTAATGTAATTCTATCAGAAAATGGATATGAGTAAGGCATGGAATAAATCAAAGATTATGGAATTCATATCTCTACGAAATAAGATAACCAAAAATATAAAAGGTATCAAGGAGGATATAGCATTACTCAAAGAGATCCTTGAAAAAATTATTTATATATGCCAAGCACATACCTTACCCAAGTGATAGGCAAATCCGAGACCAAAAGTCTTACTTCAGAATAATCCAGATTTTTTTTTGATTGCGGTCTTGGAGAGATTTATCTGGTGCTCATTATTACTTGTAGAATATATTCCTTTGGATGTATATACGATGAAATGCCATTCCATGGCTGAAAAACAAATCAGATAATTAGCGAATAAAAAAAATTACTAATGCGAGTTCACATTGTTCACGCCAATCACTTTTGCCAAGAAAAATTTTCTATAGTAGTATATCAAGGTATTTCACCTAATTTTATAACTGTCTACTCACTAAAGTTCGTGTCTAGAATCAGGTAAGTCAGGTAGATTCTCAAACATAGCAATTTTTGCATGTAATTCAGCCTGCTTTTTTTGATGATAATTTTCTCAACTTTTATACTTACCCACATATTTATCACATGTATTATATTTAGATTTATTTAACTCACCACATTCTTTACAAGGAGTACATACTGGAGATTTTCTATGAATATAGCATCCTTCTGGGCTATAACTATTTTGACCACAGATTTTTCCAGTTCTATGAATATATGAGCAATAATAAAATGACATTGAGTTTCGTTACTTTTGTATATAA